AATAATATCACAGTCAAAGGGATTTTTGCCTGAAGCCCAAAGGACTGCAGGCTTTGCTACCACTCAAGGACCTGACTATTGTGTCAGTTGCATGTGCAACTCCCAATAATGTTAATATGAACTGCACCAGTTACACTGAAGGAGACATTTTCTTTCCTATGCCAAAGCTAGTGTCTAACTAGATCATAATTCCATAAGTAATATTTGGACTGGACAGATCATGACCAGTATTAATAAAATTTTTAAATATTTTAAAAACTTAGAGATCAATTAATTTTTAGCAGGCATTTTTTGTGAGGGTGTAATGCTTGCTAAAATGTCTCAAAGCATCTCCTTTAAAAGCATCTCTTTCCTCTGGTGACACAATTATGATATCATTCTGAAGGCAGCTACCCTTTTCTCCAGCCAATTTTCAGTCATTTAGGTCACTAGATGGAACATTAGGGAAAATGAAATATACAGGGGCAACTCAATTCCAGACACTAGAAGACAGAATATATCCTGTCTCTAAGGAAAGTACGCCAGAAGCCCTAATGTTTAGCTGAACAGAAAATAGCCTTGACATGCACTCATTAGTTTTATCTTCCGGAAAGGGTAACAATTAATAAATATAACAGGGTTTCTGAGTGATCTAATTTTTAAAATAGAGTCTGAATAAAATTGTAGTTGTTAATACTAATATCTGGGTAAATAACATGGTTAATTTGATCTGTTTTCAAATTGCCTCAAAGGTTAAGAATAGGGCTGTCAATTAAATCACAGTAACTCACACAATTAGCTCAAAAATAATTGTGATTAAAACATTAATTACGGTTAATCACAATTTTAATTACACTATTAAACAATTATAGAATACTAATTAAAATGTATTAAATATTTTTGGATGTTTACAAAAAGATCTCACCAAACTAAGGGTATGTCTACACAGCAAAATTATTTCAAAATAACAGCAGTTATTTCAAAATAACTTTACTAGCGTCTACACAGCCAAACTGCTATTTCGAAATTAAACAGAAATAGCGGAGGGCTTATTTTGAAATTGGTAAACCTCATTCCATGAGAATACCAGCTAATTCGAGTTAGGGCTTTAAATCAGACTCCCGTTTCACTGTCGCATGGCAGTTACTCCGGGCTAGTGAATTTCTAAAATAGCGACCGGCCGGGAACATGCAAATCAAGCATGGGATATTTAAATCCTGGGCTTAATTTGCAACTTCAGTATGCTTCATTTGGCTCCCTACTTTGAAGTAGGGGGCAAGTGTAGACATACCCAAAGGGACGTGTAATCGGAGCACAGCTGAATATTCAGAAGGTGCTCAAAACTATTTTCAAAAGGAAAATATGCAAACGTTTCTCGGCAGGGAAAGTAGAGGGTGTGGAGCTGTAGCAAGGGGTGAGGAGATTATATGGAGGGGAATAAATGGGAATGGCTGGTGAGGGCAGGATGGGGGTTTAAGGTAGAGAGAGGATGGGAATTAGTCAGAAAGGGTGATATGGAGGTAAGTAGATAGGGGAGGAAGGCAAAGGGCGCAATTGCCCCACAGCCCAGTGATTCAGAAGGGCCCTGAGACCTTTAAATTGTAGCCGGAATGCTGACAGCATGCTTTGGACAGGGCTAAGGGCTGGTGGGAGGAGGAGTGATGCTGAGGGTTGGCTGCCCTAATTCTGCCCCTTTCCGCATGAGGCCCCATCCCTTACATGAGCATGGACCCAAGCTCTTCTCCCCCCCATCCCCCCCCAACCCTGTTCAGGGTCACAGCAATTCTGTCAGCCCCCCTGGTGTGGACAGGGTATGTTGTACAGAAATTGGCTACTACAAATTAACCAAGCTAATCCCCAAATGTGTGATGTGATGTATAATAATTGTAATACAATGTGCAAATGTATATAAAGAAAGAGGTTTGCTGGGTAACTTTGTATGTGCACTAGACCCTATATCAGTGTTTCTTAAACTGTGTTCCGCGGAACACTGGTGTTCTGTGAACAACTCGTAGGTGTGCCGTGACCTCTTCTTTGTTTTTGTTACTTCTTTGTTTTTCTCTTTTTTGGTCTGACAACCTTTTATTTTTATTTTTTTGGAAGAAAATTTTCATAGGTGTTCTGCATAAAAAATTATTGTTTGGTGTTCTGTGGTCTCAAAAAGTTTAAGAAACACTGCCCTATATCCACCCATGACACACGAGTCAATCAATTCAGCGTAGCCTTGCTGTATGAAAATGTGGGAGCCTTAGTAATAACACGAGTTGAACTGAATTATTGGGGAACTGAGTGGAAGAGGTGTCAAGGGAACCTCAGCAATAAGGCATATAAGTACCTACTCCTGTGATTACACAGACATGGGGGACAGAGGTAGGGGCTCTCACCTCCCCAAGATCACTTCACATCACAGTGGCAGCCCTATTTAATAGAGCTACACGTAACACAGTGAATGCTTCTGGAGTGCATGCAGGTAATTCCTAGTGCTATTGCCAGATCTAAGGGGACAGAGCTAAGACTGCATGGGCATCTACATTAACTCTTCATTTCCTGGTATTCCAAAGTTTGGCTTTTACTGAATTTGAAATTCTGGAGAGGTGCAAGACACCACTGGGGTGTTTAACTGTGTTTATGAAGGTTGTGTGTCAATAATTAGGCTGATCCCAGGCTAATGCTTTTGGGCTTGCATTGACTTTTGAATGCTTGATACTTTGGGTGAGGTCCACCACTGTATATCAGTGTAGCTCCATTGAGGTCAGTGAAAATTATACTGACTTCCACCAGCTGAGTATATTGCCTTGCAGTCTTAATATTACATCAAATCTAGACTTCTTGCTCTTATTACAGAATAAGTATGGGGAGGAGGTGGGGGATTTTTTTTTAATTTTAAGAGTTACTTTATCTATAGTCTTAAATTTGAATAGCATTGCTAATGTGCCTCCATTTCAGCCTGCAAGATCCCTGTTGTTCCCATGCTGAGACTAGTCAGATGAGAGGCTGCCAAATAGTTTGGTTGGAAGGGAAAGAAAAGTCTGGTCAGCATGTGATGAGACACAAGTGTGCTTTTGTTTTTTGCTTTTTTCTTGTAGCTGTAGCCAGAATTTAATTCAAGAGTTCCAGAGGCCTAATTATTTTTCATGTAGATTGGCTTTCAGTCAATCAGTGCAGGGTACATTATGTGTTCTAAATAACTCTCAGCAGATGCACCTCTGTCAGTCTGCTTTTTAGAGCATGCGCCACACACAGGTGACCATATATGTACAGAGGAAATGGCTATCTTCATTTTCACAATGTTCTGCTTATATGGAGTAGGCAGTTGATAAATGACCTGATTCATCAAACCATTTGCACAGCTTTAATTTAATAAAAAACTATCCCCCAACTCGTATTTGTGCATCATTCAATACAGCAGGGTCTGTATCACTAGAACTCCTAAGCACCGAAGTATGACAAATAATTTCAGTGACTTCATGGACATTTAAGCATGTGTTCAAAATGATGTGCTTACATGCAGAGTCGGGGCCTTCATCATTAACCTTGTGCTTAAACTTCCATGAACTATGGATCTCCTTCCCTCTCTCACACATTTCATACTTCCCTGTTTAGAAGAATCCGCAGATTGTTCTACTGAAAACTTAGAACTTAGTTCTGCCCACGTGTTTGGATTCATATTGAGAAAAATAAATGTCATTTATTATATATTCTTTGTATGTTTATATAATGTAAATGTTTTTGAGCTATGATAATACATTAAGTTTTTTTCCGTAAGGGAGGATAAAGGCAAAATCATACTAATTTCAGTGTACACTTCAAAGTTGTGTGGAACTCTGCCATTCTTAGTTTTTTTTAAAGCAGCTGTTGTACAAAAATTGCAATTTTTTCTAAGGATAAATGTGTGGTTAGGCAATCAGTGCCATCTAGTGGACATATTTAGCATATAGAATAAAGATTATCCTACTTGCGTTGTAAACTATAATGTTGGAAAATTACAATCCAGGTCCTGGAATTCAAAATTGATTTTTCCAAAATCCTAGTTGAAAATAAGTTCCTTATCTGAGGACCTAGTAAACAAATACAGATGTGGAACTATTGTAAATTATATCAAATTAAATTATTTTCTTGTGTAGCAATTTATTTAAAATTTGAATTAGGTTTTTCAAGCATTTACAAAGATTAATTTGTGCTGCTAAACAATAATAGAATGCCATTTATTTAAATATTTTCCTTTTATATACTTTCAAATATATTTACTTTAATTACAACATAAGGTAAAGCGTTCTCTTTATATTTATTTTTTACTAGAAGATTTACCTATTATTGCTCAGGTCCTTAACTCTTGTTTTTCATCATTTACATCATTGCTCTGTGTGCCCCGGGCTGTGAGTGGACTATCTCAGCCCTCTCTCATTGCAGCAGTTTAGGGACAAGTGAGAATGACCTGTCCATGGCTACTGCAGGTGCAGTGGGCACAGCCAGGGAAGGGGTTCATGTCCCCTGTCTGGGGGACAGACAAACACATACACACACACACACACACACACACACACACACACACACTCAAATAAATTCTCTGAAATATATAGTAGATAGCTATCCCTTTCTCCACCCCATCCCTGCTGGCCCAATGGGATTATAGCTATCCAGGTCCCATCTCTGGCCTCTTGCTGCCCCCCTGTGGTCATTCTACAGTATAACTTCCCCTCCTACCAAACCCTTGCCTTTTCATTTATAAGAAAAAGTCAAATTTCATGCACGCTACGTTGTCCTGGCACAATCAAACTTTTATTTTGCTTTAAGATATGATATGAAGAAGCTGCACATCAAATGCAGCTTTTACATTTTAGGAGGAGTTCTTGAACAAATGGACTCACAGCAGGATGGACAGACACACAAACTCTCTCAAAGATTTAGTAGATTAGAAATACTTGCACTGTAAAAATAAAAGAAACAGTATTATAATTCACCTCATACAAGTATTGCAGTGCAGTCTAGTTGAACTTACAAATGTAGACATAGGCACAAAATATGACTGCATTCAAAAATAAAACAACGTAGAGCCTACAAGTCCACTCAATCCTATATTTTATTCAGCCAATTCTAAAATAAACAAGTTTATTTATATTTGCAGGAGATGATGCTGCCCGCTTCTTATATACAATGTCACCTGAAAGTGACAAAAGCACAGCATTGTGGTAGCCAGCGTCATAAAATACAAACGTGCCAGATGTGCTAAAGATTCATGTTTCCCTTCATGAGTCAATGACTACTCTAGAGGACATGTGTCCATGCTAATGATCGATTCCACTTGATAAAGATCCAAAGTAGTGTATATTCATTTTCATAATCTGAATCAGTTGGCACCAACAGAAGGTTGATTTTTTTCCTTGGTGGTGGTTTGGGTTCTGTAGTTTCTGCATTAGCATGTTGTGCTTTTAAGACTCATGAAAACATGCTCCATACATCCATGCTATATACATGTTATAACTTAGTCACAAATTTAATTAACACATTATTTTTTAATGAACATCATCAGCATGGAAGCATGACCTCTGAAATGGTGGCTGAAGCATGAAGGGTGGCTGAAGTATGAATGTTTAGCATATTTGGCACATAAATGCCTGGCAATACTTCGTACCAAGTGCCTACGAATGCCTATTCTGACTTTCATGTGACATTATAAATAAGAAGCAGGCAGCACTATCTTCAGTACATATAAACACACTTGTTTGTCTTAGTGATTAGCTGAACAAGAGGTAGGATTGAGTAGACCTGTAGGCTTTAATATTTTATATTTTGGTTTTGAGTGCAGTTTTATAACAAAACAAATCTACATTTGTAAGTTGCACTTTTATAATAAAGAGATTGCACTAAAGTACTTGTATAAGGTGAATTGAACAATACTCTTTTATCATTTTCACAGTGCAAATACTTGTAATAAAAATAGTAATATAAAGTGAGCACTGTACACTATGTATTCTGTGTTGTAAATGAAATCAATATGCCATATTTGAAAATGTAGAAAAATATCCCAAATACTTACACATTTCAATTGGTATTCTATTATTAATTATGATTAATCAATATTCATAGTCTGAATATTAAATTGAAGCAAATGTAAGATGCATTAATGTTCAAGACAGAAATCAGAAGATTTCTTACTTTAATAATATAACATCAGACCATTCTGAGATGTGATAAATCAATGGCTGTTGGATCGATTGCTGCAGCATTAATCCCCAGCTTAGTGGAAACAAGCCCTAAGAATGAAATTAATTTGAATGTGCAAGGGGAGAAAGTTAACTTCATTTTCAGTCTCTCCTGACTTCCACAGACCCCCAATAGCCCTCCAGTTTAACAAAGACATATTGAAGATGAAACTCATTGGCCTAGCCACTCTTCATCCTCGGGCCACATGAACCCTTGTCCTGTCTTTGGGGGCTGAAGGTGACTTCTCCAAATGTCCTAGCCCAAGATCTTCAGGGGGTCAATGCTCCTTATTTGAGAAGTGTGGAAAAAGATACCTCAGGCACTCTGGGGTTCCAGTGGGAGCTACTAATTATTGTGTACATCTGAAAATCATGCCTCACACTTAAGTACCCAACTGTGGATTTAGGAACTTAACATTAGTCTCCCTATTTTTTTTAAAAAAAAAAGACCTTAGATCCTATTTTCATGGAAAAGTTAAGAGTTTTTAAGAGCAACCCCATCTTCTGAAACACCTCAGAAGAAAGCTATTCTAAACTCTGAATATTCTTGTCCTGCGAGATTTATCTCGGACTCCTAATGTTATTGTGATATACTTTATACTGTTAGTGAAATAGCTGATTAGTAAAATCTGGAAAAAAAAAAGATTTGTTTTTATGGAACGCTTGGCAGTGGTATGGCTGTTAGTAGTAACAAACATTTAACAGCCAGTATTTTATCTGAAAAGTTGTCTCCTGTCTCCCTCTGGTGGTGTAAAATTTTCTGGACTGCAATGGTCTTATGTGGATTATTAAATTGGCCTTATTGAATAAAAGTGTATGAGTTAAGATACAAGCTACCCTGGGCAAGCTGCTCCTGCTGGAGCTGCATGTCTTCCTGCACCCAGTGCGGAGGGTGCGGTGCAGGGCTCGCAGTGCCCCCAAGTACTCCTGCTGGTACCCCTTCACTGCACGGGTGGGCCTGTGGAGTCCTCGGGTGTGGGAGGATGTCCCCTGTGGTGTGGTGCACCCTGCATGCGCAGTTGGTGAGGCTGTGGAGAAAGAAGAGAAGTGGTCAGTTCTCCCTGGGGACACAGTGGGTGAAGCCCAGCCCCGCTCTGCAGGGCAAGGATGACAGGTCTCTACACCATCAGAGCCGATGTGCTTGCACAGAGGCCATGTTCGGGATGTCCTGCTATCCCTGGGAGTGGGACCTTCCCCGGAACTGTACCCAGACCCCTGTGCCGTATATAGTGTGGGTGTGTGTGGGGGGGAGGAGATGTCCCCTGCCTCTGTGTAGAGGGGGCTTGTGGAGGGAGGGTGTCCTGCTGTGTCCGATCCGTGGGTTAGGAGCACATCATGTCTCTTCACACATGTGTGTGGCAGCCAGCTGGGGCCCACATGCCCAGGGGTGGCATGACACGTGCTCACACGTGTACAGGTTTCTGCCTGATCCATGGTCAGCAAGGCTCACACACGCAGTCCCTGGTCTCTCTCCCCACCCCCAAATAAGGGGACAATGATGGCACTCACATGTTGTTGCCTCCCCGAATGACACCAGCGACCGGTCCGCTGGGACAGCTCGGGGGTCTTGGCTGCGCGGCATGCTTCCTCTGGGCTCCTGTGGCTCCTGGCCCTCCTCCTCCTTTCTTCCATGCCCTGGTCAGGGCCCTCTGCCCCAGGGTCGATGACCACCTGGGGGGCACAGACCATCCTGCTCCCCAAGATGAGGTTCTGGGCATCAAAATAGGGGCAGCTCTCTGGGTCTGCCCCTGTTTGGGAGCTGCCCCCTGTGATCCTGGAATAGGCCTGTCGCAGCTCCTTAATTTTAATCTGAACCTGCTCCTGGGTTCAGATGTGGCCTTTGGTGGCCAGGCTGGCAGCTATTCTGCTGTAGTTGGCCACATTCCTTCATGTAGTGCGGAGATCATGGACGTTGGAGGCATCCCCCCAAACATCAATCAGGTCCATGATCTCCGCCCTGGACCAGGGAGGCACCCGCCTTCTCCGGCCACCGGCAGGTTCCTGGGAGTGGGGGACTGGGCCCGGGGAGCTGTGGAGGGCTGGCTGGCACTGATTGCCTGGCTCATGCTGGGGCCACTAGGTCTGGGGCAGTGAACACTGGCTCTGGGCTGGCAGGCCTAGAGCTGGCACAGACACTGTGGCTAGACTCTACTCTTTTAAGGGCTCTGAGGAGAGGTGGAGGAGAGAAGTTTTCCTGGTTGGGGCCAGCAGGGAACCCTGGGAAGGGCTGGAGGCCTCCTATTTCGAAATACAGGCAGTCCCCGACTTACGTGGATCCGACTTACGTCGGATCCCTAGATACTAACGGGGTGAGGCAACTCCCGCACATGCGCAGCAGCATTCCCGGGGCTCGCTCACCTGGGTCCTAGGATCCTCCTCCTCCTCGGGCCGGCTCCGACTGGGGTCCTGCAGAGCTGCCGGGCAGAGGAAAAGTGCCTCCCCACGCCCGCTGCCCCCTCCCCTGAGCAACAGGCTGCGGAACAGA